TTTAAAAGTGGGTAAAATGAATGGAGTACTCAGGGCACACTACTGTGGAATACTTTATTTTCGCTGGAATTAATTTTCGCTGAAAAGGCTTTTTGGGCGTTTTGTATGGAATTTATTTTCACTGATTTTTGATGAGTTTAATGTTAAATATAGGAAAAAAAGTATATTCGCTGGATTTTATTTTCACGGAATCATCCCTTCAGCGAAAATAGCGAAAATAAATTCCAAGCGAAAATAAAGTATTCTACAGTATATTGCCAGTGACATTTGACCGAGAATCTTAGGTTATATAGTTCTAATTTGTTTTCAGGTATCCGTCTTTGCTCACAGTATGTGTAGGGTCAGTTAATCTAAACTAATAGGTAAAACATTTTAGGCTTTAGTAAAGTTGCCGTTACTGGGCGGTGAAACTTGTGTTACAACTATTTTTCATTTAATAAACTTGGTGTGTTCACATAGCCACTCGTATTACATTCATTTACTGAGTGTGTTAGTGACTGAGTGCTTAGTTTATAGCGGTATATCTCTTTTTGGAAGATGTGGTGGCCCTGAAAAGGGCCGTTTGGTTTTGAGTGCAAAATGGCTAATATTTACACATATCCCGCATCTTCGGCAAACAGACGACATAACGCTAGAGTGAGTCTTGTCTGCAACTTGTCTTGTCTGCAACTGCCAATTCAGTGAAATTGTACACGAATCTTGGGTTTGGATTGCTTCGAAGCTCGAACTTTAAATGTCGAAAACAGTATTCACAAACGTTAAATTGTGGATTATATGGTGGCTGAAAAATTAGCCGTACTTCAAGTTGATCAAGCAGGCGCCTTAAATTCTGTTCAACATGTCTTGCGTGATGGAAAGGACAGTTGTCCATTATGATATAATCACCCGGTGCTAAGACGGGATTCCCCATGTCATTATTTTGTTCAATAGCTTCGTGAAATTTTTTTAGAAATTCATAACCATTGGACGGTCCCAAAATTACGTCAACATGGTGAATTCCAAATACTCCCATTAACAAGTTCACCGTGAACGTAGCATTTGACGCATATCGTTGTATTTCGACGGCTTGGGTTCCAACAACAGAATGTCCGTATCTGCGGTTTCCCGTTGTTTGTACTACCGATGATTCGTCAAACCAATGAAGCTGCTCTGGAGTATAATTAGATACCTCCTCCATGAAATCCAATTGTCTTTCAATGTTCCGATCAGTGCATGATTCTGCAAGCACACTTGAGATTATTTTTCGTGACATGTTGAAATTTTCACGAACCGCTACATTTATTTTTGTGAGACCGGGGAGAGTCATTGGTGTGCAGATACCATCTTCTAGTAATTTGCCACGGATTTCACGAGCGTAAATACTTGGTTTTGTTGTTTTATAGTATTCTATATGCTCCAAAACGTTGTCCGTTAGTTTTGTCTTCGCCTGCATTCCGCCACCACGTTTCCCAGGAAGAATGCTACCAGTTGCGATGTATCGCTTCACAATATCGTGAGCTGTTTTTTTTCGAAACACCGCTCTGTCGACCGATCTCGGAATGAGACATTCCTCCCAAATAAAGCTGAACTACCCTCTCTCTTATTACTGCGGGTTTTTCCACACCTTGCTTATTCATTGCAACGACCTATAATAGTTGTCTCGATACTGTCATGAAACTTAACTGACGGAAGTTTTAAATTTTAGTAGCGTCGCCATGGTGTCTATCGAAATGAACAAGCCTTGCTACATTTGAATTTTGTTGTTGTTGACCTGTCAATCACGCCTTTGATAATTACCGCGTTGTTGCCAATATTTTGAACAGGTGAAGTAACTTTCAAAACAAACTGCCTGACCAATTGTAACGACTTATCAACATCTGACTGCAGTTCTTCGTGTAATCAAGGGGTGAAAGGGGTGTAAAGACTGAATGTTATTTTGCGAACCTCGTATAAGGTGCCCGGTTTTAGTTATAAACCGACGTTAGCTTCACGACGTTCATGTCCTACCATGGTAACAGCCGAAAACATATTGCTTGTTTTTTACCGGCTTGTTTTCATTGGCAACCTAAGTATTTTTATTTTGTAAACAAATTTTCATCTGCTATTTTTATCCAGTTCATATCGTTCAGCAACATTTTTGGCATATTAGGTGTACATCACATGGAATACTACGATTGAGCATCGTCCGCCTGCACGGTGTTGTTCCGTTCGGACATTCCTCCCTCTACAACACCGTGTGATATAGAGTGGAGTGCTTCGCCGGAACATTCACCTTGAAAATTCAAGATGCGATTGAGAGAACTTGATGTATGTTGACTGAGTTTTATCATAGTACGAAGTAGCTGTGGAATCATAGCCCTATGTTGCCGACCGCATTATTTACGTGACTGACTCTGGCCGGCCCATAGGGCTATGGGGCCTTGTGCGACTGAATACCGGTTAAAATCCACATGCCAAATTTGGTCGTCGCGAAAATCACATTTTAAGACCTTCGAAAGTACTCACTATGTTTATTTACTTCCAAACAATGACCAGAACCTATTTGCGCTGTGAAATGATGACGGTGTCATAAAAAATTGACTTTATTTACCGTACACCGAGTCGCAGAAAAATAACAAGACGAAAGACGCCATTTTGGACCACAGAGTTACGCGAGACCTATAGCAAATTACACGAGACCTATAATTTTGTACCACGTGACCGAAATCAGTAGATAAATTGCGTTTATGCAACTAGTTTCTATTATTAAACAAAAATCATACAATTATAAATACTGTATGTGATTGCTTTGTTGGAACAATTAGAATAACGGGAAGAGTGAGTTTTATTCTTCCACCACTGTATCACATGACCGCCAAACGAGATTACATTTATTCTGCGCTAGGGAGTGTGGGATGTCAATGGCTGTCGTTTTCTCGTAATTTGCTTGGTTTCCGCGGTAATTGTAAAATATCACAAATTATTGCTTATTTATAAAACACAAATTGCAAACAAAAGTT